AAAAAAACTGTGCTACTGGGGTGTTTCAGCTTGGCATCCAAGTAAGCTTTGATGCTGAAATTTTACCAGTGGGTCCCCTGGCCAAGTGCTGCCTCAGGAACCTTGTTCCATCTTTCACCTATTTGGGAAGACACATGAAAGTTTTGGCAAAAAAACTGCTAAGTCGGGAACCGGATGAGCCAGTAAGTTGAAATTTTAAGAGACCTGCTAAAATAGTGCTTTCTGGTGGCAAAATGTTTAATAAAAACATGTTGCAACTTTACCTTGAGCTTGTTCAAAGACGTTGCTTAAACTTCTGAGACGATTCAGAGGGGAGAATTATGCTTTTTTTGCTCAGTTGATTTTCAGGCTAAAAACAAGGAAGAAATCGAAGAAAGCTTAGAATGTGGCTTGGTGAAAGGGCATGCTTACGCGGTGACGGCTGTACGTTTCGTCGAATTGGATGCTAAAAATCGCTCTTTTTTGTTCTTCGCTGCTGTTGAACGTCAGATGATGATACGATTGCAGAATCCATGGGGTGAAAAGGAATGGAATGGGCCATGGTCAGATGGTTCACAAGAATGGGAACAGGTCAGTCACTTCATTTTCATCGTTTTTTGCAGCTATGCAATGCAGAAAACGCGTACTGACGAGGGGTTGTCTGTATGTGTGTCTGTGTGTTTGTCTGCGTGTCTGTGTGTCCGTGTGTGCGTCTGTCAAGCTTTATCATCTCAATACCTACAAAAGCTACAGGGCTGAAACTTTGGGAACTTAATCTAAATGCACATACGGGCCCCAATCCCCAAAATGGACGCCATTACCCGCTTGGTATGTGAGAGCTCGCCAAAGTTTTTTACGGATAAGCTGCTAACTCGGGAACCAGAAGTGCTTGGAGGCTGAAATTTTAAGGGGATGTTCCCTGTTCAAGTAGGTATTAATAAGCTCAAACCCAGCCCCGGGTGGGCGTGGTACCGGCGTACGCACCCGCCAAAATTTTTTTCGGGTAAGTTCATAACTCAGGGTCTGAGACGCTAGAATGCTCAAATCATAGGGCAATGTTCCGCGTCCAAGTGGGTATTAGTGAGCTCAAATCCAGCCCCCGAGTATGCGTGGTATCCACGCGCGGGTCGGTGAAAATTTTCTTCCAGTAAGTTGCTAACTCAGGAGGCAGGAAAGCTAGAAAGCTGAAATTTTAAGGGAATTTTTCCTGACAGTTCTGGCGGCCACTCTTAATTTTTTTGCTAGAAGCATTTGCCGAAAAAACCGGTGCCGGTAGCGACAAAAACTGCGGGGAACTATGCAAAAAGGCATCTTCGCTCGGGCAGCCCGTACGTCGGCCAATTGTTTATCCTATCAGCAAAAAAGTGTTTGACAGGACTTTATTAGTGGCAAATGATTCTCTGCTTGAACAACGTAACGAATTTGATAGTACTTGCCGTAATGGGTGGACGAAAATAATTGGGCCATACTGACGCTTGTAGAAATAAGGAGTCCATCTTCTCCAGTTGGCCTAAATACATCAATATAAAAAGACTGAAAAAATTACGGAAATCTATACATATGAGGAGGATCGAAACGCCAATTTAAGAATTATCGCACACGCAGTATCGACAAATTTTCTACTTACTGCAGAACTGCATTCAGTTCAAAATGTGCAGTAGTTGCTCCCAAAAAGAAAATCATAGCAGCCCAACAAGAGAAGACTTATTCCTGCGGCAGGCATCTTTGTTGACTGATCAGCATGTTGATCCTGGCGGATTCAAATATAACCGCTGTTTAAAGTGATTTCAATAACAAACACGAAATAACTAAAATATTGTCAGGTGAAAATCGG